GAGATTAAACTTTTCTGCACTCCTAAAGACTCCAAGTACACAACAAAATATATTTAATCACTGAAAAAGGGGATTTTGCATGATATGTCCCCTTTAACTAATGGAGTCAACTCTGTATGTTATTGGCAAAAAAGCTCATGAAATGCTGGAAAGATTTTAACGAAACATTCACTTTGGAGTAATTTCAATACAAGATGGCCACYGTAGCCAACTGACTTAATGAAACACCAAAATGTCTATTGTCCCTGTCACATTAYAACRTTTTAGACAACTTATAAAAAGGTTTGTCCGAGACTAAAAATGTCTAAGCTGAATAYGATATTTTAAAAAATCTACTGGAATCCTCTTTTTGAACTATGCCAACTATTAGATTGAATAGCTGACATGAGACAAACAGTCACAGCAAAATGTTCATAAGTCGGCATAAGTTGTCTAAAACGTCATAATGTGACAGCAGAACATCATGTTAGCACATAGGACTACACAAGGTATAATACAATTATTTAACACATTGACATCAACTTTTGGTGCCAACACAGTCTGCCTGTTGGCAAAATACCTCATGAAGCACAAAATGGATCTTATTGAAACYATCAAATCAGTTATTGGTTGTACCTTTACACTGATTATTCCTGGATTTGCCGCAGCTAATTGACATTAGCCAAACCTTTACAGAAATTGAACTTAAAATTTTGTGGTAGTAGCTGATAGTCATTCCAATTCTGAGTACATCCGAGATCCCACAATATTACATAAGGTCATTTATAAGGTTTGCCCAAACMTTAKAAATAGCTTCTTCTCAGCAGGAGATGGTTTCAGTTTAAAATGCATTCCTTCAGAGGGAGATGAGTCTTGGATTCACACAGAGATGCTGCAGCAGCGTACACTTATCTGCTGGGTATTTTTAAGCAGTCTGGGAACTTTTCAAAACAATGCAAGTTTAAACGGCACGCTGCCAGTGCCTTCGTCAACTTTTTCCTGGAGCATCTCCAACAAAAACCAACAGGCTGACAGGAAAAATCCTTGTCTCGCTTTGAAGTTTAAGTTTGTTTCTGTTTCTGAGCAGTGCACCACTAACTGACAGAAACTCAAAAAAACGCACAGATCTCCCTGTTTGACATGAAGCATGACATTAAGAATGATTTTAGATGACAACAAATAAAGACTAAAAGAGCTATGGGCTTGTGACTTACTTTCACAGACTATAAAGTGTGGGATTAACTGTAGGCCATCTCTGATGTGTCACTCATCTTCAGGAGAGACGAGAAGGAGAACACAAGATAAAATGTCTTTTGGTGGACCAGAAAAGCTGCAGAGGATTTAAAAAAAAAGAAGAAGAAGAGATGGAAATATATGCTTCAACAGATATCTGATACAACTGATCTCTCTACCGACCTTAATCCATATCTGGAATTCTGATCTCATGCCTGGATAAAGGGATAAAACGCCTTTAGGGGGGTTCACACAAAAAGGGAGGCCTTGTGCGGATACTCAGAGGTGGGCTGGGTCAGTGGGACATCAGGCAGCACTTTGACCACACCGAGCCTTGAAGTTGTGAGGAGCAGAGCGTCTGTTAAGTCTCATCCAACACATCCAGGCTCAGGGTGTGCACTGAGAAAAGACACCAGCAGAGTGTGATTGAAGTGAACTGCAGGGAACAGGCTGGCTYTGCTGTTGTGACTGATAACGAAGCAAGTCTGCAGCACTTTGCTCRTCGTCATTTGCTTCCTTTAGAAACTGCAGAAAAATGAGGCAGGGGAATCTTTTTGGTTTTGTTTTATTGATTGCGTTTATGAAAACCGCAGAGCAGCTGACATTTATGGTAGATCAGTGGTTTCAGATCAGTGTGTGTGTGTGTGTGTGTGTGTGTGTGTGTGTGTGTGCCTGCCTAAGGGTTTACCTCTTCTGCAGAAAGACAGTGGAGTGGTTCAAATATTGAATAACAGAATTGGTGTTTTGTCTGAGAACATGTTCACATATTCAGCCCACTCCTGAACACCATGTCTCAGAAAAACAGTGAAGACAGTTAGCATTTTGGCAAATAAGTGCATCGGGGAAGCGAGCGTAGAAGCTGAAATAAACTGAGTCAGGACAATGTCACAGTTAAGCAAAAACACAAACTGATTATGCGTTTTTTAAAGTGGGATCCTCTGGAAAGGTCGTGTAGATAGCTTCTTCAACCACCTCAGGAGGTAAGGGCTAGTTTTAATAGTACCAAACCTAAGTGGATTACCATACATACAACATGAATGGACAAACAGATGTTTTTTTATTAATTCCAGGGGGAAAGGGAAAATTGTTCATCATAGCAAAATCCAGATACTTCACAAACCACCAACTTCAAAATAAAAGTACAAAAAACAGTCATAATTTTGGACACAACAGTAAAATCCATATGAAGGAAATGTTTTACTAGAAGTCAGTAAAGCTTATGGCAAAATACTTTATGTCTGTATTATTATATATAATTTGCACAAACAAATGGCTATAACACGTTTGATACAACTTGTTTCTCCAAACTGAGGTTGTTCAGGCAGAACATTGTTAATAATCTTTCAACAGATACCCCTCGTAAAAATATCTGAACTGTKATTTTGATAAACCAATGAGAGTAAGTCTTACATTGTAATCTACTTGTTTTCATTTAAAAAAATACAAAATACTGCAGGGTGAGGCTGACAAAATGAAGGCTCCATGAAGATGTGATGAACATCAAACAAATGATGACTGAGGAACAGACGGTGAAARCAAACATATTGATTTATGTTCTTTCAGAAAGACACCTGCTCAAACTAACTCATGACCCACAATGAGTGTTTGACTGACCCAAAGCAAAGTATTTGCGGGGAATGGCCGTAATGACGTAAGACTTGGCAGTTAAACTGGAGCACAAAAAAAAAGAAAGAAGGAAAAAACAATGAATGAAACATATTAATTAAAATGGTTTTAAAGGAGACATACCATGCAAAATCCACTTTTTTAGCCGTTAAATGCATTTTGTTTTGTACTTGGAGCCTCTAGGTGTGGAGACATTTTTTTTATTTAGTTTCTCCCTGTGTATAAATGTCTTTATATTCTGTGTGGGTCATATTTTTCAACTCGTTWAGTTTTCTCTATTTTCTCTGAAGTTTTCTTAACTATTGTCACAAAATTTGCAACAGAACTGCAGTTGGACTGGACTGGAAGGTCTGGACTTACCAACTACAGTTTGGTGTTCTTCATTCTTCTCTGGGTCAGACTCTGGCTCCATCATGTAAGGCTGGATGGACAAGTCTTCCCTTGTTGACATCTTAATTAGTTTGTAAATAAAACCTTTCTGTGCCACTTCCTTGAACCCTTCTTTCAAACTAGAATGGAYCGCTCTGGAAGCTGTAGGGGTTTGGCTCATGAAGCACCTCGTTTGGATTTAGACACACCTCAGAAAAGGGATGAAAGAGGGGCTTGTAGAGTTACAATAAAGAGGAATTCARCTCAAAGCATTGCAGTTCTACTTTAYATAGAMCCYRAVTGAATGATCTAAATGTGAAAAATAAGGATTTGAAAACRTGCAATGTGTCCTTTTAAAGAAATATTGAAGCAAACTCTAGCAAAGATACAAACTATACATGTTGTTATTTTATTAAAAATGTTGATTTTTTTTAATCATGCTGCCTCAACAGTAAAGAAATAATGTCCTTTAAAAAGTGTCATGTACATATTTTATATTGGATGTAGGTATATCTGTGGGCATACTAAATGACCAGTCAACATCTACTGGGATGTTTGAATTCAGGCTCTGATAAACCTGGGAGCCACTAAAGAGAAAAGACAAAAAAGGGAGATTAGATTGTCAACTGATTAAACACAGCAGTTTGAGATAAAGCCTTATAATAGTGTGTTTTTTAATGCAAATATCATCATAAATACATTACAATGGTTCAACTGTTTGAGCTAATGTTGCCCTCTAGTGGTTACAGCATTCCTTGAATAAATCAGAGCAAGCAGTGAAGGAGTCTTTTATTTTCTTGGTTTTAAATCAGTATAAATTTTAGCAATAAGACACTCTGAGGTCCAAATGAACTGCATGTCCAGGAAGAAGCAGTTTTAAGTCACATGTGTAGTCTTACAGCRTCTCAGCTTTGTCATTAATCGGCCAAAGCTGGCCTGGGGCCTTGGTGAAGAGAGAGCCGAGCATAAAACAAACAAACAAAACATGGATGCCCTCCTCTCTATCAATCCAAGAGCTCTTACTTTTATTAAACCAAACTTGACCTGCCCGTGCAGGCGGACCACGTTCGAGCTCACTGTGGAAATAAATCATGTTGTGTTAGAGATGGGTACCTGTCGGCTCCAGTGGATTTTCCATCCCTCCCTCTGCTCCCTACAAGTGGAAGTTTGAGTGTCTGTGTACGGCTTGCTGCCTCACAAAACCCAGACTGAACAGCTGACTGAGCAGCACATAGAGACAATTACAGAAAGAGCTTGTTTTKCTGTGTGTGGGGGAGGGAGGCCCTTTGACTCAGCTGCCTTACAGAGCTCTCATGCAAACTTGGAATTAAATGATCCAGCCCCCTGCTGGTCATTTACTCAGTCACAGCTTTAATAACTTTGAAACATGCTGTATGGGGTTAAGGATAAARGTGAAGGGAATGTTTACAATCAAACTATTTTCCTTGAGATTTGATGCTCTGACATTCGTCAAGCTGGAATTGGTGCAGAGTCGTCGATACGTCCTTGCATCAGTGCTGACAAGGCAAGAATTCACCGACGTTCAATAAACCTGATGACCCCGGAGAGTTGGAGGCTAATTTTAATTAGAGCACAACCACAGCTGTGTGCCCCCCGGTGGTGTTATATGCCTCTTCTCATTCAACCGCTGTCCCTTTATCCCCTCGCTAGTCCCGGCTTTTACTGTAGCTACAGGAGGCTCTGGCATGAGCAACGGCCTGAGGGGAGATAATGTGAGGAAAGGCCAGCTTTAAATCACACCTCTGCTCATCTTCTCTCATCCCCTGCTGCAGCCAACGCGAGCCTGGTGACTGATGACACAGCGTGCGGTCCAGGCCGGATCCCGTCTCCTGGGTCATCCATCGCAACCCCCCAACGGAAGTGATGAGTGGCTCTGTCCCGATGCGGCTCGGCCCCGCTGCAGTCCATCACGCGACAGAGCCACAGTACAACTTCAGCATGTGGAGGACAGTGGAACAATAACAAAAGTCAAGGCGGTGTCTGTATCACAAGAGGTGACCAAACTATTTACCACCATGGGCGCAAAATAAACTTCTACTTCTGCCATGAGCAGGAAGAGAAAAACACACTTATTGTTGCAACTGTTTGTCTTTATTTGATGTTGATAGATTTTGTCAAGTTTATCACCTGGTCCTCGACTGCAGCAGCACAGAATGCTGTCTGAGGCRTCTAATCTATCTTCACAACACTTTYAGATGCAACAAAAACTCTTGAATCTGAGCTGATGCAAATCCTGACTTTCAAGGTAATATTACATATGTTTTAATGCAGCAGTTCTCACATCTTTCCTTATTAGTGCCACCTCAGAAAATACTAACCTTTGCAAGAGCCACCATTCAAACAGGGAAGGAGCCAGAGGGGTGGTGATTGGCCACCCCAAGTGCCACCCCCAAATGACTAACAAGTGGGGTGGGGATCACATGTGGCATTTCAAAGACATTAATGTTAATGATAATCTGTTTTGCTAGCTGTGTTATCTTTTAGCATGTCACGGGGATCGCTCTTGACAACTACCAAGCCAAATTTCAGATTCATATTTCTAAAAAATGGCTGATTTGTAGCTATTTGAAATTATATTTGGCAGCCATCTTGGGTTTTGTATTTGAAATTATATTTTGTTTAAGATTGTTTCTCGGTCACTAATTTTCAGCTTTGTATGTTTAAAAATGGCTAAACTATAGCACTTTGTAAAATTAGTATTAGCATTAGTGGTCAGCTTAGTTGGAACTAGCAATCAGCATGTTTTTTTTAATCATCCTTAATTACATTCACACACAAAATTTCAGCTCAATATTTTTTAAAACTGCTGAATTAGAGTCGTTTAGAGTTAGCTATGGTAGCCATCTTGAATTTTCAAATCCAAAGTAGTTTTATCTACCGGTATTTGTATGTGGCCCCCTAAAAAACACATTGGGCACCCTTGTGCCACTCCTTGCAAAACATTTCTGGCTTTACCCCTGCATTCAAACAGTTTTAAGTACGTAAGGAAACTTTATCTCTATGGCACCTTTAACAGACACAAACATCATAAAGTGCTTAACAAAGAGCAAATAAATAAAAAACTATGAACACAGAGAACAAATAGAAACGAGCTGATTCCTGCGAACAGCACTACACTTTTTCTATGGYATGACAAATTAATTCAAATTTAAGATAACTTATATAACGTTTTTACTACTGCTGCTACTTTTATCTCACAGGTGCAGCTTGAGCAGCCACAGACATATTGGTTAACCCTGTTTTACATGGTGTCCACAGAGGTTTTTCAGTTATTTTCCATATTGCACCACATATGGTTGTCTGACCAAAAGCCAATTTAAAGACTGTGTCCCTGGTTCTGTTTTGAGTGGGGTCCGTTAGGAGATAAAAGCTTAAACCTTTTGTCTTTTTGTCCATCTCTGTTTCCAACCCTTACACCTGAGTTCGTCTGTTGAAAGTTAATTAGTTTGTTATTCAGTTTAAATGTAGTTAAAACCAAAAATTTTCTACCACTGGAATAGTGTTCTGCAAACCACAGCACTGGGGCAACATGCATTCCTCTGCAGCAACTCTTGATAATTTTGACAACAAACGCATGAAAAAAATAGATATATATATATACATACATACATACATGCATACATACATACATATATGTATGTATGTTTATACACACACACACACACACACACACACACACACACACACACACACACACACACACACACACACACACACACACATATATATATATATATATTAGAAGCAGACGAGGTAAAGCGAATTGCAGCAGTTTTCCTCTCCAGTTTCTGCATTATGTGAAAAAAAAAACAAGTTCTGTAAGGGATTGATTACATTAAGACAAAGAAAAAAACACATCAGTCAGTTTGCTTTAATAGTTTGATAGCCAGTTTTCAGCTACAAAGAATGGTCTTTTTCTGAAATTTTTACAAATACTTTTAATTCATTTACAGCTAGTTACTGAATATATGGTGAGTCATTCTGAGAACCATGAAAATTCGATATAAAAGCTTATCTTTCGAAACAACTTTAAGTAAATGAAGTTAATTTTAAAGAAAACTAAAGGAGTCCTAATTAAATATCCAATAAACTGTCCTAATTTTCATGTTTATTCAGATCTGGTATGCCATTATATGCTTAAATATTTCAAACTTGTTTTTTATTATTATTTTTTACTAATATAGTAAAAATTCAGTCAGGGCTCTATATATATTTTTTCATTATTCAAGTAGTTATTTAATTTTATTACAGCATGAATACAAAGAGTTGCATTATTTATTTTTTGTATCTTTATTTCAATCTTCTGGTGTGTCATGTGGCTCTGACAAATTTCATTTCAAAAGTGGTAAAGGCTGCAGACCTCAGCACTGGAGGGGTTTGCACCATAKTGCTGATCAATCTGCCTACCAGCAAAAGACAAAACTGGAGAGTAAGAAAACAAAAAGAAAAGTTAGATTTTGCAATTTATTTTTGCCTTAAACCTTTAGCCAGCAGAGCTTCTAAAACATTTTTTTTTTGTCTAGGCACAGCTTCTGGTGCCTATTATTTGAGACAACAAAATGCTTAAATGTCTTTAGTTCAAACCAAAAAGCCAGACTGCGTTTCATTTTTTGTTGAACCACAACAGATGATCAACCCATCACTTTGTTGTATATTATTATTACAAGATTTACTGGCCCCCATTGTTTCCAGTGTCTCTGTGTATTTCTTTAGAAAAGTGAAAAAGTATATTCCCTTTTATAATGAGTAACTTTAATATTTACATACAGCAATATTTTTATATTTTTTTCCTGTAATAGTGAAAGTCTGTGTAACTCTGTCAACAGTTGCATGGAAACTTCTTTGGGAGGAAGTAGTTCAGTTTTTTTTCTTTTCTTCAACTTGTATTTTTTAATATATTGTGGCAGTGGCAACTATTTCAAAGGCTAACCCAGATGCACTGGGTGAAGTTAAATGGATGGAGCGTGGCAATTCTGCCAGAACTCCAGCTTTGATTCCCTCTGGGATTACCCTCAGTAGAGACATGTTTACTCCTTGGCAACGGAAGATGCTCTGAATAAAAAGCATGCACTGAGGCACAGTTCTTAGTCACACACATGTGTACATACACACACATGCACACACAACATCGGCACAAGAAATAACCAAAAATAATAAAATAAAATAAAATAAATGGAAAAATGAATGTAGTCCGGACATGAATTGGTTTTACATCCTTCTGCATATTTAAGCAACACTGGCGTGCAGTGCTGGAACACTAGATGGCAGCACAGTGTTACAGCTGCACCATGAATGGATATTTACATATTTACATCTGACTCTCACCTGATCTTTTGTATGACATAACCTGATTACCAACAAAGACATATTCACTGCTTTACTTGCTGTTTGATTGACATGTTGCCTGTCCTAAAGTTCTTCAGGTAAATCATCACTGGCATGAAAAAAATGTATCAATAAATAATTTAATAACATGGCTGACTGACTACTCACCCTGCATGTCTTCCTGTTGTTAGTTAGAATTATCCATAAATTAAAAATTAAAACTGACATCTACTCATTGGCTTTTTCCAAAACCGCCCCATTGGTGATGGTAAAAAAACAGTTTGACTTTTAGAACTTATTTCTGGTCATATTTTGGACCTGATAACACGTTTCCAGGCAATTCAAAGAACTGGGGATTGGATGAAAGTGTATTGAGTTAAAGATGTGCAGTTTTTAAGAACACCAACAAAGGGAAACTTTTCCTATTTGTCTAAATTCCTCCTGTCTGCAAGGTTTTATAAAACTATTCAGAATTGAGGACGTTATCACATGCAATGGCCATGCCCCAATCCAAACCACATGTGGTCACATTGTTGCCGTTCGTGTTAGTGTAAACACACTGTTCAATTCTGAGATGCCCGTCATGATTCATTTTATCGTGACTGACTGTGCTCCCTGGAGTGAAGGAGAAAAGCTTATCGTCTGTCTCCTCATTTCATGCCTTGTAGCAGACAGGCTTCAAACAGGGCTGTAGCCATCACTGACACACACCTTAATTGCTCCACAGGAAACGTATGGGAGAAGCAGCAAGCTCATATCAAATCAACACATTAAGAAAAGCTTCAGGTTTCAGTTTTATCCCGCTCCCTWCGAAAAATGTATCTTCTCTGCTGCAGCGTTTTTAGGATAAGGTGAGCCTTAAGGTACGATAACCTATCCAATATCAGCAACTAATGAGGCAGAGAGAGGTGCCAGAGCAGACAGACACTATCACTTCAGCTCCACGCTTTTTCTTGTGTTAGATAAGCTTTGTCAGAGGTCAGACACTGTGTGATAGTTTGACCAATTTTTAGGACTATTTCAGCCAGCGGCTGTCGATTTGATGGCAGCTTGGATTGCCAACTGCGTTGAACGAGCAGCCGCCGTGCTTTTGGCTCACAGGGGAAATCTCTTTTGGGCTGCTCGGAGTTGAACTGCAGAGCACTTTTACTCCTGGTGAGAAGATTGCTCTCATGTTTTATTGAACATTGCCCCCGGCGCCGCTCATCCTTGACAATCTGATTCCACGAAGGTCCACCTCCTGACCTCAATGCGCAACCAATAGGGTGTTGCAATTCACTCACGCTGACCCTTCAATCATCCTCATCAGCCTCGTGGAACCTTTGGGCAGCATTTATGGGCCACTCTCAAACTGGATTAAAGTCTTTGCTGCCCAGCTGCAGTGTACTTAACTGTCCTTGTTCTTAAATCATCTCAAACATTATTGCTCTTTTTTTTTTATCCCTATCATATATTTTTCATTTATTTATTTAAAAAGGACAATGCACATTAATCAATATTCTGTGAATATAAATGCACCACAATTGGCACAACAGCTAAATTTCATCTGTAGTTCTGAGCAGATATACAAGGTGATACTCCATATTATCACTTTAGGTGCACTGCTAGTAAGTTTCACAGCCATTTATTAGATTAAACTGGACTTTTAGTCTACAACTGGGAAATTTGGAGTAACCTGGAATGTAATTTAA